GTGTTCGACCTCAGCCCCGTCCCCCGCCATCCTCACCCTGCTAGCCAGTTGACATCCCACCACCAACATTCTTGTGCTATTGAGGCAACGTGAGAAAAAGAAAAACCAAAAAACAAACAGCGCCGGCCGTGAGAGTCCCTTCCCTGCCTCACGCGTCCCCCTGTGGGCGCTTCATCGCCAAGCTCTTGTTTTCTTTCTTAAAGTTAAAACAAATTCAGGAACTGCCCCTGTCTGTGCCTCCTGAAACATCTCAAACCAGTTCATTTGTTCATATTTACAGGAGAAAGCACCACCCAGGGGTGATCTGAGTGTCTTGAATTTTCCAAAAAGGAAAGTGGGAGCCGGAGGATGGTGCGGGGTGGGGGGGGCGCATCCCCAAAAAAGTGCACGGAGATCCCGAGGGTCCCTCTTACGCTCATGCTCAGATGAGGCAGCAAGTCAAAGTCTCCCATGACGACTTCTGACACCTCAAGGCCCTACCTCCCTTGCAATCCGATTGCCCTGAAAGTCCCAGGGCAAAGGCTCGGTCCCCCAAGCTGTGTGCGTGGATGTTTCGCTCCCCGCAGCTCCCCAGAAAGCCTGTGCTGCTTCAGGAGCAGCGGCACCCTTGGCCTCGGAAGGGGCCAGCGTGCCCTTGGCTGTGATCTGGGGCCTCTTTGTGCAAATAGAAAACCACAAGTCCCCTTTTGGGCGACACGGCCGGGCCCAGGAGCAAATTCATGACCCAATGTGGCCCCTGCCTCTGCTCAGCTCTCCCATGAGCCATGAGGAGGCCTGGGATGGGCCTTAGAGAAGCAAGGGCCGGGGATGGGCCCCGTCACCTCTCAAGACGTCCCCTGGGGCCAGGAGGGGGGATCTTATTGCTAGATGAGAACGTGGAGGTGGGGCCCACAAGCAGCCCCCTCAGCCCCACACCATGGGGATAGCTCTTGTTCATGGAGAGGACGGTCCAGTGCCCATAGGGCCTGAGATGGCGAGGGACAGGATGCTGGGCCAGCCCCGCCTGGGAAGGAGGGTATCCGGGCCTCCATGCCGCCCTCAGCTCAGCCGATCCTGCCTCCGTTCATGAGGCACCGCGGGGCGGCAGGGCAGCGGGGAGCCTCTGGGGAGGTGCTGGCCGGTTGCTGAGGCTTTCCAAGCTCTGGGGCTCACATGTTCTCAAGCCCCTGTCCCTTGCCTCTCCCCAGTGGCTGTGGAGGAGCACATAGCCAGTCCTCTTTTGTACAGGGCAGGTGTCTTGGGGCATGTTAGGCGATGCTAGGGAGAGGGACACGTGGTCAGTGATCTGAGCAGGCTTCTGAATGGGTCCTGGCCAGACAGACAGAACCGGGCCTGTGGGTGCTGCACCACCCAGCTCAGCAGGTGCCCTGGAGTGCCTGAAAGCATCAACTAGAGCGCCAGTACACTGCACAGAACCATGAGGGATGTGGGGGTGGCGCCGCCCCCAGACCTCATATCAACGCACAGCAGCCCGCATCCAGCGAAGGCCAGGAGGAGCCCGGGATGGGCCAGAGGAGGTATGTGACTCCCCTGCCTCCAAAGTGCCCCTGAAGTGTGGGTCTCACCCCAAGGACATAGGAGCACCCTGGAGCCCAGGCCCCAGTGTCTGCTTAAGTCCTGGCTGCCACTAGCAGGAGACTCAGGAGGAAAGCCCCAGCCTGGGTCCCCATCTGAATATCGACCTGAGTTTTCAGTTCAGAGCGACATCTCTCCTCTGCCCAGCAGGAGAGCTCATCTCTTCTGGGAGGCTGTGGTTTCCAGAACTTTCTTTTTAGGATGTTTGGACCATCTTCTGCCCCAGTCTCCTTTTTCCTCTGAGAATGGGGGCTGAGGTCACATGTCTCGAACCTCAAAATGACGGTGATGCTTTTCTGACCGAAGTATTTTCCCTGCAAATTCGACGTTGTTTTACGGACCTCAGATGTTCAGATATGGTTCCTTCCCTTCTGTGTCTGTGCTGTATTAGAGGTAGGGTGTGTGTGCAATCTTGCAAAAGAGAGACAGAGAAAGAGAGAGGGAGAGAGAGAGGAAGGGAGGAGCATTGTTCACTTGTGTGTGTTTGTGTGGGGGGAGTGTGGTGTCCATAACAGCCAGAAAATCCCGGTGGAACTTCTGGCCTGGTGGAAATCTGAGAAATGGCGTTAGTGTCATGTAATGTTTCTTTCTCAAAGAGAAGCTGTTAAAAACTTTTTTAAAATCTTGGTTTTATTAATATTTCAGGGCCATTTTTATTTGAGATCCGCATAGAGTCAAATAGGTTGCTTTGCAGGAACCCACGTTTCCGTGGTCAAGGCCAGGGAATGGAAATGCTTTCCACTGCGGCCATGTGGCCATCACAGTGCACACGAGAGAGCATTAAAACACTAGATTGAAATCTATGATATCCCTTTCAAAAAGGCATTGCTAAAAGTCATTTCATACGAGAGTCTATGGGTTTCTGAGAGCAGTTTTTCATATTTTTAGTGTTTAAATGTTATTATTATTCGAAGGAAAATACGTCCCACACAATGCTCATTTTCCTTTGATAACTGAAATTCACGGTTGAGATTTCAGGAGGAGAAGCTCCCAACTCAGCCACCTCACTCCCCGTGCCTGGGCAGCGAGTCTCCTCCAGCCTCCGGCCGGCTCCTGCTTTCCCGGGCGTTTCCCGGGCATTCCAGCCACGTGGCTTATCCAGCTCAGAGGCGCACCTTTGCGGGGACATGGGCAGGAGCGCTGGTGGCCTTGTAACACCCGATGTCACCCGCCGTGCTACCTATGAGGGTGTTCTCAGAGCAGAGGGAAGGGTCACACAGTGCGGTTGAGGGGGTCAGAAGTGCCCTGAGTGGAGGAATTTCTCTCTGCTTTGGGCCAGTTTGGCGTTGCATTTGCTTAAATGTGCATTTCAAGTTCCCTCTGGGTTTGTGGCTTTAATTCAGCCTACGGACCGGACCGAAAGCAGAGAGAATGAATCCCTTGAGGCGGTGTTGGAGAGAGCCGTCTAGTGGGTCAGGAGGTATCCCAGTAGTTTTGACATTATCTGTGGTTTGGGTAATAGAGCCAAGTACGTTTCTGACTCTAGGACGGAGCTTTGGAGGGAGTCCGCACTGTGGGATAACGGCGGGGTAAAGGGAAGGAACGGATCAGGATTCAGGATCATTCTTCCATCCTGGCAAAAAGGATTTCTGCCCCCGGTCCTGACCACGGAAACACAGTTGGCTACAAAGCCGTCCCTTCCTTTTGGACCTCGTGTGTAGCTAAAAGGAAAGCTTCCCTGAAATATTAATAATACAATGAAGATTTTTTTCAAAGACAGGCTTCTCTTTGAGAAGATTATACATCTGTTTGTTTTTTAAAAAGCTAGACACATAAAGATACCCACTTTACTGCTTAAGTTTAGTTCCAATGTTCTAATAAACATTTATTTCTTAAATAAAAAACTCTGGGTCCTTCATTACTGTAGTTTGCATCTCACAAAAGCACAGCCCTGCCCCAGCACTGTGGTGCCCCTGCCCCTCGGCTTCCCAACAGACGACCAAGGACACACACTCTCTGCAAATCTGAGCCCCAGAAAAGGATGGAAAGACGCGTCCTTCTACGCACCTCAAGCCCAATTTTCCTTCACTCCAATTTCACTTTCATCTGGAATAAGGAAAATATTTTTTTAAGTTCTGTTCTTATGTTTATGATTATTCTTTTGCTTCTTCTCTGTATTTTTTTTTCAATCATAAAAAGTTATTTTAAACAGTTTTGGCTCTAACTGAAGGCCATGGAAATCCTGGTAGGATAGCAGATTCATGTCCCCATCCAGAACGAGCTTGTCCAGCAGAGCAACTGCTCGGTGGAGACTCTGCTCCACAGCCAAGGGGACAGCAAATGAGGGAGAGCCCCGGGCAGCAAGCCGGGGCCTGCGGGACCTCCCTGGAGTTTGCTCTCTGCATTTCTTAATGCAAAATTGTTTCTCTCAAGTCGAGAGCCTTGAACCACTTTCAACGGCTTGCACAGGCTACCCGGGAATGTTCCGCGACGTGGTCTTCACACACATTTTTCACAGCCATAGGATCCCTTTTTTTTTTGCAGATGAAATCTCATGTATGACCCCAAGATATTACAGGAAAAACCAGACTGCTGTGATGGAAGGGGCCGGGGACCCCGGGCACCCTGAGGAACGCACGGTGTTGAGCACGCAGGGTGGAAAATGCCGCCCGGGAGGCCTGGCTTGAGAGTGAGAAGAGCCTCCAGGGGCCACTGGCAAGCTTGGAATAGAGAAATTCATGAAGCAGCGACCAACTCTGGGGACACGGTGCCTTCTGGAGTGGAAGGAGACTCCACATCTTCTCCCCTGATCAGCCTGTGGGTCTGGACGCCTGTGCCGGTGGTGGTGTGGACCAGCCGTGGAGGTCGAGGGTCCAGGGAGCTTGGTGGGGGCCTCAGTCTTGAGGTGGCAGGGACGGAAGTGAAGGTGTCTCTTGCCTGATTCACTGCCCGCAGGACACAGGGACTTTGTGCCAAAAAGGCCAAGGCCTTCAGCAGGCTGGTCAGAGGCCCTGGAGGCTCGAGGAGGCCCTGAGTGGCTGCCTCACTGGCCGGTGCTGACTCTTCGGAAAATTTGGTTAAACAGCGTCATTTAGATGGATTCTTGCAGTGACGGTTCCTGCTCTATGCTTCTCCCGTGTCCTTCGGGGAAGCGGCATTTGCAGGAAGTGTGGACCGTGTGATCTGGGGTCCTGCCTGCTTCATTGCTCTTTTCCACCCGAACCACCATCCTGGGGTTCAGGAGCTGCCAGCCTCGGGCACGGGCCCTGAGCAAGGCTCTGATGGAGCCCTCTCGGGGTGAGTCAGCTCCCCAGAAGCCAGCGCTGGCCGAGCACCAAACAGTGCCCCCACCGCAGGCCAGGGCTTGGCAGATGTCCCCAGAGAGGCTCAGACAACCCTTGCCTCGGCACCTCCGCCAATCTTGGTGCCGCGTCCTCAGGGACAATTCCAAGGGGCAGAAGTCCCCGTTATGAGCCCGGACCTACCTGCTCACTGATCTGACACATGGTGAGGTTCTGATCATCGCAGGAGCACGCCACACGGATGTACTTGAGCCAGCTGCCGGCCCCGGCCTGATTCGCATCCACACAGAACTTCTCGCTGCCCAGGTCTTCGGAGATCTGCTGGGAGGAAAGTGAAGCAGGAGTCAGAGGTGCCCTGTGTGCTGGAGTCTGCACACTGCCTCTGGCCACCCGGAAACCTGGCTGTTTGGGCTCAAGGAGGAAGGCAAGTCGGCGTCCAGACCTCAGCCCACCCTCCGGGCATCAGCGGGGCTCCCAGCCCACCCAGACTGCCCAAGCCTGGGAGTCTCCAGGAGTCTCCAGGAGCCCAGCGGAAAGGCAGGGAATGGCCTTTTCTTTTCTCACCGAACAGATCACTGCCCTGGCCCGGCGATAAAATGAGCCTCCAGAGTCGCAACCCCCACCCCCGCAGCAAAGCTGTCCCACGTGTGAGAAGGCAGAGACCACTGCATCTGGGAGCAGAGCCCTCTGCTGAGGAGCTGGGGCGCTGGGCTAGAGAAAAGCGTGTCTGAAGGCGAAGGTGTTGCTGGGCGTGCATGTGCGTGTGTGTGTGCACGCTCAGGGCAGCCTGCACACCACTCTGACAATAAGAAAAGCATCTGGTTTCCTTAAAGCTGGAGAGTTTCAGTTTGACACCCAGCAGCGTGAAGACGCCTAGCTGTTCTCACCACGCCCGCAAAGTCCCACACACACCAACTTGACTTTATTTTGTTGTTGCTGTTGCCTCTGAATGGGCAGAGTGGCCACCCCTAGGGCTTTGCTTATTTGCTGTTACCCCTACTCCTCTGAGGACCACTGATGAGGAGACCTGACCTGCTGTCCACTGTGGAGAGATGGTGTCACCTCGACCAGCCTGACCACGGGTGGCGGCTGCAGGCCTCCCAGTCTCCCCCACTCTGGCCAGTGGCTTCTCTGGGTTCTGAATTCAAACCAGCGGCATCTTGGGCAAGCTTCTTGGGCAGCCTAGCCCAGACAGGGCAGGAGGAAGGACAGGGGGCAGGGGCTGGGGACACACCACACTCAGGTCCCAAAAGTAGAAAGGCTATGTCTCTGTGGGCAGGAGTGCCCTTGGGCAGGTGTATCCTCCTGGATAGGTGTATGTGGGTGGGCAGCTGTGTCCTTGGGCAGGTGCGTCCTGCTGGACAGGTATGTCCAGGTGGGCAGCTGTGTCCTTGGGTAGGTGTGTCCTGGTGGGCAGCTGTGTCCTTGGGTAGGTGTGTCCTGGTGGGCAGGTGCATCCCTGAGCAGGTGTTTCTGGGTGGGCAGAGGTGATGGATAAGGAAGTCAGAAGGAGCCAGGGAAGTCAGGATGCGACAGTGACCTGTCCAAGTGAAAACAGTGGAAGCTGACTCTGGGCACCATGGGCCTCTTATTCTCTGGAGTTTTCCTGACTGCTCCATGGTGAACTCTAGGACCTGGCAGAGGGGAGGAGCCGCCCACCTGAGGTCGGGAGCTGCCCTCTTCTGACCAGAGAGCCAGGTGCTTTGTGAACAGTGCAGGTGTTCCCCGGGCATCCTCAGTGACCAAGGGCCCACCTGGCCTGAGAGTCCACAAGGAAACGGAGGTTTCAGGAGGCAGCTGCTTAGCTCAGGGGTGCACAAGGGTGCTGTGGAGTCCGCCTGTGCATCTGCATCCCATCGGCCCTGAAACCACACCCCCATAGGGCCCATGGGAGCTGCTGTGGCAGCCTCGTCCTCTGAGTGACAAGTCTCTGAGCAGGTACACTCGGGCCAAGCTCTGTGGGACACCTTAGGGGCTAGTGTGGAAAGAGGTTGTGAGCTGAGGGGCCTCAGTTCTGAGACTTTTTGCTTTTTGGGGACTTTATCACTCGTGCCAGAGCAAAATGGAATGGACCTAATTCTGAAAGGGAGGACGTGGACCAGAGACAGCCAGGTGGAGCCTGGGCAAGGCGGAAAGAGGCAGGGATGTGAAGGATGGGGAGAGACAGCTGAGGAGCCTGCCAGGGCACAGAAGCGCCCCAGCCCACCCTCTGTCCTCAGCTGCCAGGGTCCAGACCCTCAGGAGGTTGGGGCCAAGAACATCCACTCCCGTGTGCACAGGCCCCGGAGACCCCAGTGCCTGACCCTCAGATGCTCGGCATGCACTCTCCCGGGTTCCTGGCCATCTCAGGCCTGGTGCTGGGATTCTTTTGAAAAGTTCAACGTCAGCACCAATCAATGGGGAAGCGTGTTGTCCACGTGCCCCGGCCTCTGTGTGTGGCTTCCAGGGAAAGTTGCCCCCAGAGCACAGCAGAGACGGGGAGAGGGCCTCGAGTCTCCTTTCGCTTCCACTTACTCTCAGTCTCCTTGCTGACATCCTCTACCAAGCTGGGGTTCCCGACTAAGGGTTTCCAGAGGTGCTGGGTAAGACAGATTGGGGTGCAGGGTGGGCGGTCGGCCAGGGCAGAGGGGGGTGCTCCTGGGTCCCCCTATCACACACAGCCATGCCTGCCCCTGGAGCCCTTCTGGCTCCATCCAGGGCAGTGGGAGATTCACTCGAAGGCTGTCTTATTTCAGAGACGGCAGTGGCAGAAACGCTCCCAAGCTCGTGGGCTATGGTTGCTCCAGTCACCAACTGAGTGTGAGTGAATGGCCAGGCCCCTTCTCTGCCCGGGGTTGGCCGTGAGTCCTGTCCACTCGGAACTGTAGATGGGCCTGTGGTCCAGAGAGGACGTGGATCCAAGAAGCATAACTAGGCTAGAGGCTGGCACCCGAGGAAAACATTGGTGGCAGGGGAACGCTCAAAATACAAATGATGAATTAGCAGGAGCACAGCCGGCCACATGGGGCTGGCAGCATCCCAGTCCCGTCCCCAGCCCATGGGTCCACTTCTCCACTGAGGCCTGCTGATGTCACAGCACATTGCACACAATGCCTGTGGGCTGAGGGCTGGCACTCACCCAGGGCGGGCCATGCCCTCCCACCTGGGACCCGGACTTTTGTCCTCAAAGCTGGAGTACCTGGGCCACAGCACTCCACTGGTGCAGCCAGGAGTACGTGCTCCTGAGTGCATCCCCCGCTGAGCCCAGGGCCTGAGCTGATGGGGCTCAGGCCACTTCCCGAGAGGCAGGACTCACTCCTTATGCACCCAACATATGGACTCAGCCAACACCTTCCCCCTGTTCTGGGTCCCGGTTGGCTCAAGCCTCGCTTTGGTGGGGAGTCTGTGGCCACCCTGCTGCTCAGGACTCAGGGCAGGTTCCCAGGGAGATTCTCTCTGTGTTACCAGCTTCTGCAGAGACAGCTCTGCCCTAAGCAGGACTGCAAATCCCCTGACATTTGAGGTCCTGTTTCCTAAGGGGCTGCAGGAAGGGCCCTCACGCTGTCCACGGAGGTCACTGCCTGTCCTGCCCAAGTCCAGGGCCAGCCCAATCCAAGAACCACAGACTCAGCAGCCCACCCCACCGCACCCCATCTCTTGCCAGGACAGGAGTGGCAGGGGCATGGCATGGAAGGGAGGAGGCCACAAGCGGCTGGTCACCACTGGGAAGGCAGGCTTCCCATCCTGTAGGTGCAGACCCAGGGCCACCAGCCCACATGGTGAGGCCCCTCCCCAGGCACAGAGACCTCTCAGGGCCCTCTCACTTCCCACCCTGACTGCTGGTGCGCATCAGGAAACCGCTGGAAAGGCTCGCCAAGCCAGAGCTGTGGTCGGCAGCCCTGCCATCTTCCTCTGCCACAGGGAGGGAGTGAGGCTGGGCTGGCCAAGACCCACAGGGCCCCGTCCCACCTCATCACTGGCCAGGTCTAGGCTGGAGGTCACTATGGGGCAGGGGACTCACAGCCCCTGTATAGGTAGGGGCCTGGGTGCCGGTCTCTCCCTCTCTCTCTCCCCTGCTCTGCTTCTCTGTCTGTCTCTGTATCTCCCTCTCAGTATGGGTCTCTTTTGGGCTTTCTCTCCTCATAGACGGTGCAGGGGCTGGGGAGAAGATAAATGACGCTGTGAGTGACCACAGCCATGGCATGGGCTTCTCCTGGGGCCTGGTTGTTGACTCGAGAGTGTTGGCCTCCGTCGGGCGTGGTGGCTCACGCCTGTAATCCCAGCACTTTGAGCGGCCGAGGCGGGCGGATCACCTGAGGTCAGGAGTTCAAGACCAGCCTGGCCAACATGGGGAAACCCTGTCTCTACTAAAAATACAAAAGTTAGCTGGGCATGGTGGTGTGCAGCTACTTGGGAGGCTGAGACGCAAGAATCACTCGTACCCAGGAGGCAGTGGCTATAGTGAGCCGAGATTGTGCCACTGCATACCAGCCTGGGTAACAGAATGAGAGACTCTGTTTCAAAAAAAAAAAAAAAAGGAGTATTGGCTTCACTTTGACTTCCAGGCCTTGGGGTCCATTTCCCCGGGAAATCCCTGGAAAAACAATCTGTGTCCCTGGCTGGCTGACCAACCACTATTTTAAGTGCTCCCAAGCCCCTCGCCTTACAGGCGCGCATGTGTCTGGGTGTGTGCTTGTGTGTGGGCGTGTGCCTGCATGTGTGCACAGGTGTGTAGGTGTGTGTGCATGTGTGTGGGTGCACCTGTGTGTGTGTGTGTGTGTGTCCATGTATGTCTGCTTGTCCTGGGGGAACGGGGCGAGAAGCCTTCGGTGAGCAGAAGGCTGACGCCGCAGGAGGACATTGAAGCGATGGCCAATTCCCTCTCAAAAACGTGGGTTCTGTGTCTGGAGGAGAACCCTGGCCCCTTCCATCCAACCCCACATCTGAGGCCTCCTCAATGCCTGTGATCCGGCCACTGATGGCTGCAGGTCCAGGGACCCACCTGTGCCCTGGGACAGCCAGTCTCCAGACACACACCACCGTGCTCTGTGGAGCAGCCGCCCACTGCGCTCCCAGGCCGCCGGTGTATTGTTGAATGCATCGAGTCACCGGGAATTGCTTTTTGGGGCATAGGCTCTCCTTTCTTGCAATGCCCCCCTCACCTTGCAGAATAAGCCTCTCTTTTCCACATGACGGCCCTGCAGGTATTTGCATGCGGCCTAAGTCCTAACCCTCCCGTGCCAGGGTAAACATCTCTGGCTCTCTCAAACGTGTCTGAACAGGGACACGGCTGGTTTCCCACCCACATGGGACCGTGTTCTGGAGCGTCCGGTCTGTCC